AAAAGCAAAGCCGAAAACTTGCACACAAACTGTGAACCAAAAATACACTATACACGATAAATGTTGTTTTTTCTTTTACTGTTGCAACAAACTATAATCAATTTTGAACCAGCAAAAAACCTCGGCTCTATAAATTATTCTTGTAATACACGCTATAATCAATTTTGAACCAGCAAAAAACCTAGGCTCTATAAATTATTCTTGTAATACACGATAAAGTCTTGTTTTTTTCTTTTACTGAACTTTAACAAACTCTGAACCAGCAAAAAACCTAGGTTGTATAAATTATTCTTGTAATTAATCATAGCCACGCTCACCAAAAATCAACTGGTATTCATCTTGTATTTTTTTGTATTATCTGTTATTTCTTGTTTTTCTTGTATTCATCTGGTATTTTTTTTATCAGGTATATTTTTAACGCAACTGATATTCATCTGTCGGTATATTTTTATTAATAATACATTTTAATAAAAAATAAAAGAATCAAATAGGAGTAAAATAACGAGTCATCAATTCTAGACTGACTTTCAGATGTAGAAAGACTTCTACATTTTTGGACTCTCTTTCCTGCCACATCATCAGAAGTAGAATTAAAAAACCACCGCTGGAGAAGATTTTTTGTCTAATGCCTCTACAATTTTGCAATTAACATACCACTGGAGATACTCTAAGAATCTCAAATGCTGAAGGGTCATGCCATAAAGACAGTGTCTTCAAGAGCATCTCGAATGATACTGTGGATAGAGAAAAATTAGATAAATGTACACGAGCATGTACAATAGTTTGGGTCTAATTTTACTTACATGATATTTAAAGTGAAGATAGCTATTTTCACCCCGTTTTGAAGTTCTGCTAAGTTTTTCACACCGCCCAATAAAAAGCTAAGTTTTTCACCCCATAAAGTACGAAGACATATGTGGTGAACTAGGTGATAGATAGACGACCGGTATGAGCATAGGCGAGAAAATTATGAGTTAAAATATGCGACTGTCCTGCGACGAATATGCGGAGGTTCGATGTACGTAGACTTGTCAAAACGGGCTGAGGCCTGCGGGCAGGCCCGCCCCTCCAAAAGAGTGGGTTGGGTTGGGATATTAGAGGCCCGCTGGGGAGCGGGCCTAAACGGGTCAGCCCGCGCGGGCCACAGGCTTTGGCGGGGCGGGCCGCGGGCTGGCCTGCCTTTAGAGAAAAATATATATAAGCATATCTATCATTATATAAAAAGAATAACCATTTTACAAATTTAGAAACTTTTTCCCGCCAAAATCATTAAATATATCCTATATATAGTAATTGTTGGACAAATCTGAATAGGCAAAAAAATCCGCTCATTAATTGTGTAAAGATTTGTTTCTCTTTTTTCCTGTTTCTTAGTTTATCGTTTTAACAACAAATATTTGTTTTTCTTTTCCCTATTTTTAGTATAAATCTACACGAGCTTATCTCTTCTGTTACAAAATCCCATTGCATACGATCTTAGGTGTTTAAAAAATCTCATCCCTTATCTATACAGATTTGAAAAAATAAAATAAAATAGAAATCAAAATAATTACTACTAGAATATCATTATCTTTAAAAAGAAAAAATAAAATAAAATAGAAACCAATTCATAATTACTACTAGAAATCCATTATCTACTTTAAGGAGCTAATTTTCATCGGCCTAATTACTAATATTTTTACAAATATTCTAAGCTAACCATACAAAAAAGTATAATGATAATTTTGAAATGGTGTGTAATCAATTTTTTTTATATTCTCTTATACAAAATCATTTTACATTGTTTGACCCCGAATCTTTAATTTATAATTATTAAGTATTGTTTATCCTCCTATTTTATTTAGAATTATTTTTTTTCTTCCTCTTTTTAAATACGATCAATAGTAGTTTTCACTTCCGTCATTGACTCAAACTCGAGGTCTATTTATAATATTGTTAATTTATTATTGTTACCGTGCATCGCACGGGCTACACACTAGTTAAATATATAATATATTAGACATATTAGTTTTAAGGCCCAGCATATAGGTTGAAGCCCAATAAAAAAAAAAATTAAAGGCCCATTTTTTTGACTTTTGAGGAATGGATCGGGCAAAATTTCTTTAGGTTTTGTCAGATTCACATTATCATTCCTAATTACCGAGTAAAACAACTCTCAATCGCATATCTCATTTTAATCCACTTTATTGGAAATCGGAGTTGTCTTGGTCGACTTTTGCCGAAGGATTTTAGAGGATCATTCAATTCCCCGTCTTTTACTTCAATTTTCCAGCAGAGTCCTTCTACAGTACAACACAGAATAGGGGCTGAAATTAAACTGAAATTATGCTTTAATGCAGTCTCCTCATCTCCACTCCAGCCCGTGGAACACGATCTTCTAGTAAGAATTGGGCGCACGCCAGTGCCGAGGAGTTCCATTCGCGCCGAGATGCGCTGTCGCGTGGCTCCGTGGATCTGTGGTTGGCCAGTCTGGCTGGAGTGGTTCCCGGCGGCGGAGGCTTGTCGGAATCGAGGGAGAGGCGGGCGAGGAGCTTCAGATTTCTGGCGAATTTGATGTATTTTTGTTGGGGGAAGACGGCAGGGACGAGAACTTTTGTGAGGGAATATGTACGGATTTGGGAATTNCGCGGCCCGTGGTGGGGGTGGGCCGGGTTGGCATTTTGAAGGCCCGCCAGGATGGTGGCCCGCCCCGCCAAACGACGGGTTTCGGCGGGCTACGGACTGGCCTGCCCCGTCGGCCTATTTTGACATTTCTAGATGTATGATTTAGTCCGTCGCTCATTAAATAATTATTTTTTTGTTAGGCGAATGAATCTGCGATTATTAGTCAAAAAATTATTCGAGGGGTATGCGAATTGCCGCATATTGCTCACATACCGCATTCGCACTTCTACTCGAAAGTTATTTTTTATTTCTTTTTTATTTCTTTTTTATTTCTTTCATCTTTCCGTTATTTCAGTTATGCGAGGGTATGCGAATTTTCGCATATTGCTGGCATACCGCATTCGCACTTCTACACGAAAGTTATTTTTTATTTATTTCATCTTTCAGTTATTTCAGTTATGCGAGAGGCTATGCGAATTGCCGCATATTGCTCGCATACCCTCTTCGCACTTTTACTCGAAAGTTTATTTTATTTCTGTTTTATTTCTTCCATCTTTCATATGAAATAATAGTCCAATTGTTTTAAGGAAATTCTGGACTTTCCCAAAATCAGTAAAAAAATTTCGAAATCATGGGCATTATTCAACAATATTCACATGGTCCAAGTCTTATCTGGACTCACAGGGATTCATTACTCGGTTTTCACATGGTTTTCATTAACCTAATTCTCAACACTTCACATGTTATTCAGCTTAAACACCATAGCATGAATAATAAAAAATGTAACAACATGATATCCAATTAAACACATACTTAGGAATATCCAAATAGAGGGGTTTCAGAACAAACCAATCCAACATTTTTAAAGTCAAATTTGAAATCAACCAACATGTCTAATAATCTCAAACATAAGGTTCATAAATTGCGGAAGCTATAATAATAATAAATGACCACCCTCTCGTCTTGTCTCGTCATCCGCCACCTGCTTAACCTGCACCTGTGAAGAGGCAGGTGGGAGTGAGCACAATTGGAAACCGTAGTGCTCACCACTATGCACATAAACAATAAAATGTAAAGATAGTATGATTGTAGTATGAATATAAATCAATCATCATCATGTCTCATCTCCTGTCAATAACACGACAATAACTCACTCATGTGCACATCTATCATTAGCCGCGAAATGGGGATGCATAAACCCTAACGACGGGAGTGCGTGCCACGCAAGGACACGGCCTTTCATTAGGTCTTAAGGAGATTTTGCCTCGCAAGGGCAACCGTACCGTAACTCGACAGGGACAACCGTACTGACGGCCGTAACAGCTCACATTGGTAGGCCACATGGTTCACATACATACATTGATTATACCAACCAAACACTTAAACACGTATGGCATAGAGAATTTTAGAATAATAAACCCTCCTAGACATTCTGAACTGAAACTGAGAGTCGTCGCTTATGTGGAAACTCGAGGGCTCGACTCCTCAGAATCTATATAAAAATAAGCGACACTCGGATAAACAACTAACTCTTAACTCAGTAACTAACTTACCAATTTGAAGGATTTCCTAGCTTAAAGTTCACGACTTATAAAATCTTTTGTTTTATTTCCAGATATTGGAACTCTCTAAAAATTCTCGGAATTTACTCTTTAATAATCTATAATAAGCCTAGACTCGAAAAATCATTTTAAAGCTCGGGAAAATTTTAAAACGGGTTTCAGAGCCTTTAAAATCAGTTCGGGCTCGGAATTATTTGGAGTCCATAACATCATATTTTCCCACATAAATTGGGGCTCAAAATAATTTATCAAAAATCCCATTTTTCTTCGTTTATTTCTAAAGGAAAATGAACTAAATTCTAAACCAAATCTTAAGGCATATAAAACCCAATATTATCAGGCCTAAAGACAACATATCAGAGGCTATAATATTCTGAAAAGTCACATCCTGCTCAAACATCCATTTCAAAATAAAAGGGCTCAACCTTTGATAAAAGAGCTTGATTTTTATTCAATGGCACTTAAAAGGCAAATTTCCAACTATTTGAACACCAATTTCACCATCCTCAAAGGCAATTAAAAAACAATTCCTCCATGTATAAGAGCATTAAAACAGAGGCTAGCATATCATCAATATTTTCTAATCTAATTGGCTGGAAAACTTAGGCCTGCAACCCGATCTTTCAAAATACTTGAGTCATTGAAATAACATGATTATTCTCACATATATTGGCAAAAAAAATACAAACAAAACCAGAGGCTATGAAATCTCACAAATTCGGACATCAATAACACCTAAGAGTCCCAACATCAATTTTTAATGGAATATTATTCGTAATTCCAAAGGCATGAACCTTAAACTCAATTTATTCCTTCAATGTAATTCACAAAAATAAAGACAAGGTAAAGCCATTTCACCTTCTTCCGTAATAGAACGAGGAGGGCTGAAAGATCGGAGAAACGAAGCCTCGGAGGCTCAAACTCGGCCTCAGCAAAGCTCGATAACACCACTACCCTCGAATAAAGCTCTCGGCGAACTCTCTCGGAAAAATGCTCACTACTCTTCTCGCACGGGCCCGAAAGGTTGCGGTCGCTGTTTCGGCTTCCCCTTGCACATCGAGCTGAAATGGTGGTTGTTCGAAGTCGACGGCGAACGGCTTTCTCGGACAATGGCGATGAACGAACTACCACTCTTGATGTGCCGCTGTACGACAACAAAGGTGCTGCTCGCGGCTCTTAGTGATGGAAAACAGCCGCTGCTCTTCGGGAAAAAGCCTGGGTCTACTCGATGCACGGGCCCGACGAACGGCTGAAGTTCGCTGAAAAGAAAACGACGGCAGGGTGTGAGGCGGTCGAGAGAGGCCTCTGCTATCACTCATTTGGACGGCTGAAAAGAATTACGGAAGCGGCTAATGCTCGGTGAACTCGAACGGCCGAAATTCTCGCTGAAGAACTCCCGACGTTGAACGTGAAAAGGACGGAAGATGCTGCTAGCGGCGTGGCTCTACTCGTATGTCTATGGCGTTGTCGGCGGTCGCAGACGGAAGTAATGCTAGCCGAAAGAAGTCACGCGGCTGCTATTCGGAAACTCACGGCAACGGCTGCTACTTACTCACCGATGGAGGAAGATGAGGAACAAGATTTGCTTCTTGCTAAGAAGAGCCGCGCGTCTGAGGAGAAGGATGAAGACGATTGATGGCCGCGATATTTAGGGTTAAAGGGTTTTCTGAAATTGGGTGAGATTAATCGAAGAATGATGGGATTAAAGATATTGTAAATTCCTTATAAATCCCCAACTAGTAATTACCCGTGCGATGCACGGGATGATATTTTTCTTTACATGAGTTTGTATATTTAAATATTTAATTTAATGAACTTGTTATATTTGTAAAAAAAAAGTAAACACGTTGGGCGCAAACTACAAAATTTCATAAATTATTGAAAAGTTCTTTGTACACAACGTTTTTCGTTTGATTTGGCGTCGAGTCATCGTCACCACAAACTAAAATTTTCAAACCACTTCGGTTGGTGACACGGGATACAACAATGTATAAATGTCCATGGTTGAACACAGGCTTCTTAAGAAATAAACCAACATGCGACAACGATTGTCCGTGGCTCTTATTGATAGCCATGGCATACGATACCCTAATAGGAAACTGACGCCTCTGGAACTTGAAAGGAATACGGACATCGGAAGGAGTAATAGCCATTCTAGGAAGCAACACCTTCTCGCCTGCGTGATCCCCAGTTAGTATCTTACACTCGATAACATGACTGAAGAGTTTTGTGACAACCAACCGTGTCCCATTGCATAGACCCATAGAATGATCCATGTTACGCAACAAAATGACGGGAGTTCCAATCTTCAAATGCAATTGATGATTTGGAATTCTGGAACATTTGATACTATTTAAGAATTCAGGCGTGTGGATATCAGACAGGAAATCGTTATTAGAGTCGGACTTGCAAGTACTATCAGAACTTAAATACATTTGACCGTCAGATAAATTCAACGATGTCATGTACTCATTGATAGACTCAACAACATCTAGCGTAGGCGCTAATATTGCCATGTCCTTTAAATAACTGGGATCGTCGGTTGCCTGCTTAAACATTGGATAGGTGCTCTCTACAATTTGGGCAATCGGATCATCAGAGGGCTGAAGCATTATATCCTCAGGTATGTCAATCATTGCACAACCATCATTATCCCCTCCTATGATTCCATCTCCAATGCTCGCTATCCATTCTGTGAACCGAACAACCTCTTCACGTTCTTCTGAATTCCTAAGGCTTTCAAGACGCATGTTTTTCGTAAGCCGGAGTACAGTACAACTCCTCCAGATATCAGAAGCATTAATCGCAGCATTCACTATGTCCTGACGGCTACCCTTCGGTATTACAGGAAGAATTTGTCGGAAATCTCCACCAAACACAACTGATTTGCCTCCAAATGGTTTGTCCTTGTTAGAAGGATCAATTGCTCCCATAATATCCTGCAATGATGTTTGGACAGCTTCGAAGCAATGCTTGTGCATCATTGGAGCCTCATCCCAGATAATCAGAGAAGCACGTATTATCAGTTCTGCGAGACAATTTTCCTGAGTGATATTGCAAGAGGATTCCTGGTGGGGTTTCAATGGTATTCCAAATCGAGAATGAGCCGTTCGTCCACCTAGCAACAAAAGCGATGCTATTCCACTCAATGCTACGCACAACACTATGCCACCTTTGCATCTAATACCAGCAGATAACGTTCTCCACAAATAAGTCTTGCCCGTTCCACCATAACTGGATACAAAAAAAACACCGCGTCGACTAGAATCAACAGACGACGTAATGGTTGAATAAACTCCTTTCTGTTCAGCGGTCATTTTCTTAAGAAGTATTTCGTGTTCAGCAGCAAGAGCCTTTCGATCATAATTTAACTCATCCATAATCAGACGATTTGAACTTGAATGCATACTGTCATTATCCGGAATGGGCATAGTTGAATAATCACTCAGACTTGCTCCACGACGTTTCAGTAAATACTCAATCTCAGCAAGAGCAAGATTTTGGATTTGTTCATCAGTAAGCAACAAACCTAAAACAAAATGATACATAGTCAGTAACCAATATAAAAATGATTGAAGTTAATTATTAAAATTTTTATACCATCATTGTTGAATAATCGACGTTGTTTGTACAGAATGTCGTCCGACAAAAAGTGCCAACATCTTGACCATACCTCTTTCGGTTTACCAAAAGAACCAGAAACCAACAATGATGCAAACATGTGTCTTAGAGAGTCTGCAGATGCCCACTGACTTGCTTCAGTTATGCCATCGATGTACTCCCTGTTGTAATACCCCGCTAACTTACTAGTATCAGAGTAAAATTTTTGAAACTTATTTCGAAAATACATATAAATTTTTCGAAATCATTTAACTTAACTCGGGATGCTACTAAACTTATGAAAATCTGTTTTTCTTTAACTTGGTCTAAATACTGGTTTAGACATAAAGAAAACAGATATGTATAATCTAATCAAACTAGCATGTAACTCAACCAGACCTGTCTAGAGATCCGATAAAATCTGAAAACTAGCATGCAAGTTTGATTCTAAAAATAACGTCAGCGGAAATGTAAAGCGTGGCAAAATATATACAAAAGTCCACAAAACGGCCAGCAGAGCCGAATAAAGCGACCGACTGCTTCATTGCCTTACACCTTGCTCATTTCAAGAGGGGGTGCTATTAAAGGAAGGGTACTAGAGAAAGGACAAGGAAAGGAATACTGCAGCGAAGGCGATATTCCCATCGAAAGGCAAACTCTTTCCTTCTCCACGACCACCATCACAGCATCTCAACTCACGCCTGTGGCCCGGCCCGAACATCTGAAATAAAAAACATAATAGTGGGGCGTGAGCACGAAAGTGCAAAATGCTCCGCAGAAACCCATACTAAAGTAAACAGCAATAATAATAACAATATCATGATCGTCAGTATATATAAACTGAATCTGAAATTGAAACTGTAACTCAATCTCCCGGCAAATCTTGAAACTCAGCCGGTAACCATGTGCACACTCTAGTGGAATATTAAGGCAACTAGAGGCCACCACCAGAACTTAGGGGAAAAACTCATGGCAACTAGCGGCCACCACCCTAAGCGGATAAACTTAATATATATACACACCTCCGACATGATATCAGATATTATAGTCAATGTAATACCCAGTCTGGGCTCCCACCTGTACTTTTGGAAATGAAAGTGGCACTGCTGAACTCGAAAACTGTCGTCAAACTGTATAAAAATATAAGCAGTTAATATACTAAGTACTATGCTCAGAATACTTAATAAAATGCTAAGATGCTCTGTTTTTAATTTCTAACTTATCCAGATTAATTAGAACGCTCTAAGGGTTCATATTAAAATTATACTAAATCCGGAACTTATTGTTATAACTCAATCTGACTAAATTTTGGCTCGGAAAAATATTAAAAATCTGGAAAATATCTCGAACTGCTCATACAAGTAAAAAATAACTCGAACTGCCGGCCGAACCGGCTGGTTCGCTTACCGACTGGACCAGACTGACAGAACCGGTCCTACACTAGCCCACCGGTTCACCGAAAACCGGGCGGACACTACGGACCCGAGCTGACACGCCTCGGTCCCGTGCCGGGCCAGTTGGTGCCCTGGCACGGTGCTGGACTCGCGCTGGTGCGAGTCTGGGCGCGGCCAAGCACTGCTGGCATGGTTCAGTGCAGCCTGGCGCAGGTATTGGCCCTACAGGCACGAACAGACGCGGGCAGACACGGACAGGGCTTACCCGGGCGCTGCCTGCGCGCGCTAGGCGCTACTGGCGCTGGGATTGTGCGCGCGGACGCTGTCTGACCCAGGCCTAGTGATGAGAATGTGGCACGGCAACTCAAGAATGCCGCGAGTCGGGCCTACCACGGGAGGAAGAGGTTAGTGTTAGTGTTATATACTGAAAGCTTGGTTTTGCATGTTATTACACATTTACCCTTTATGAATGAGAATCATGTTAGATTAAACAAGTTCTACGTTCTGTTGTTCTGCACTTAGATAGGGTGGGTCGTCATCGGGCGAACCGAAGATCACTCTGTCAGTCACTTGCGAACAAGAATAGTTGTTCACAACCTAGATGGACATGAACACCCCATCCGAACGGTTGTAGTGTCAACTGTACAGTTTGTCTTGACTGATTAGTTGCACTAGTACATTTATGTATTGAACAGGATCCCAGAGAGGAGAAGTTCATTTTATACTGATCGTCGTAAATGAACTAGGCCTCGGTTAATTACTGCGTTCTCTTAACCCGTAAGATATTAAACAGGCAGATATATATAATATATATTACTTTGATTCACATGGGTGAGGTTCAGTGGACTGACCCGGACGCGCACGGGGCCTAGCCCGGGCGCGCACTGGGCCGCGCGTGCTGGGCCGTGCACATGGGCTGGACACAACCCTACTTGGGCCTAGCATGAAAATTTCTAAGGCTTATACATCTTGACTTAGGGACTTATTTTTGGTGACTTTACTTTAGAAAATTTTAAGATAATATTATAAGGCTCGGTTAGGGTTTCAAGAAAAACTCGAAATTAATCGAACCGAACATGTTCGATTTTTCGGTCTCGACTTCATCTCGACGATTTATAGAATTATTCTCGACTTCGATTATCTCGTCGACTTAAAATAATTAATCTAGACTATTAATCTTCATTTATAAAAATAAACGGTTTGGAATTAATTACCGAAATTTACTCGGTTATTGAATAAACTTAAAACCGAATCGGTTCTCGACTTAAAGTTGAACTTATAACTGAATGACTTACTAGCTTGGCTCAGAAGTTTAAACGAGTAATATTAATAAAAGTAAAAGTAGTTCAAACTCGGAACTAAGAATATTACTTTTATTAACAAAAGAACGGGATATTACAATCTACTCCCTTTAAATTATTTCCGTCCTCGGAAATATTAAAACTAAAATATAATACAACTCAAAACTCAAAATATATACCAAGATACATAATTGTATATACACCTCAAAACTGAAAATCTGGAAACCAAGCCCTAATACCAACTTCGCGCTCCTAAGTAGCGTCGGACTCTCTGTGGCGATTCCATTTGATACGAACGAGGGGAATATCTCGATTCCTGAGCCGATGGACCTTTCAGTCCA